TCATAGGGGGAGGGGTAATCGGGGAGGCACAGCGACTGGCCAGTCAGATGATGCTCGGTCCCCTGCCACCGGCTGTCCCCTGGCCTGTGTCCCCCATTGGGGGTTCCCTGAAGGCAATCAAGGCCACCCTGGACTGAAAAGGCCACCCGATGTCAGATTAGACACAATATTGAATTTACCTGGGCTGGTCAGTGCGATGATAATACCTCAAGGCCATTGCCCTTCTGAAAAAAAAAAAAAAAAAAAAAGAAAGTAATCTAACTCCCCATTGGATACGGGGAGAATTCAATGCCTGCCAGCCCTTTCGGTTTCAGGGCTCCAGTGTAACGTTGCCACTCTCCAGAATGTATCTGGCCGCACCTCGCTGCAGCAGAGGATGTACCTGAGGGCACAAACAGAGCTTGGTACCTCTTTTTTTTTTTTTTTTTTTTTTTTTTTTTTTTCACTGAGGACCATCGCCCGTCTACCATTGCTTGGTGGAGTGACCCGACCGAACAGCGGTCATGGGCACCAGGTTGCAGAGCGCGGTGGTAGCAGCCAACGCTGCACCCATCCATTTACATTTCAATTCACTCCGAGTCGTCCATCCGGCATGCCGGGTTCTGTTTGAAGGCCTTGCCACACAAGCCTCATCACACGGGTACCTCAGATGCTAGGCGTGAACCTATATCCAGTACAGGCCCCATGAGTAGACCGAAGAGTTTGCGGTATCTGGCCCCCTTGTCAGGGGTACTACGCATCTAGAGCCTCCCTGTATAGATTTTTATCACAAGCAGTGTTTGCTGGCCTAGGCCAAGGTCTAACCTTTTCCCGCAGGGGCCGCCATCGGACCCCCGATTCTTTAGGAGGCGGAAAGTGGATTCCGAAACAAAACAACGGCCACCAATGAGATTTATCAACGGCGGCTGTCATCAGGCTCAGCCTCCGATTTTTCAGGAGTATGCGTTTTTCCCGTTTTCCCAACAGAGGGAAAGGAAGTGGTGATTTAAACCATCAGTACTTGGCCCAGCTATCGGCCGCAGCGCTTTCCCGTTAATGCGCCGCGCCTTTAGGGCTTCGGGGTACTGGACCACAATGGCTGGAAGCGCCGGCCAATTTTTTTTTGAAATGGTACCCCGGCGCTTCGGCGAAAATTGGCGCGCAGGGGCATTCCAGGCTCGGCATCGATAGCTGGGCCAAGTACTGGTGGTTTAACCTATGAGAGTCTAGCCCTAACTACTAGTACCCCACCACCTAGCACAACCATATTCTGTACTCAATCCCATATTCTGTATGCGGTCAGATAATTGGTCAGCTACACAGCATAATGTGCACTGTTTGTGCTGTGTCGTATCAGTAACTGTGCTGGTGTGTAGTGGGATAGATTGTACATCGTTCATCCAGCAGTGTATAGTCTGACATGTGATATGTGAATCTGCATGTACCCAATGTACACAGTTACTGTATGTGTTCAAATATCCACAGGTTCGATGATCTAAGCTCCCCCCTCTAGAATAGCTCTGCCCTGCCACCTTCGTGGCACGGACCCTCGCCTATGGAACAAGGCGGCCTCATCGGACCCCACAAACCCCACCCATATCGTCACGATTCACGGTAGACCATGCCCCCATGCTGCATTCGCTCCCTACAAGGATGCTCACCGCCCTCCATGATGATGCCTTCGCAGATTGATGCTCCCTCCTTTGCTACTACCCCTCGACACAGCCTCCCCCTGGCACCCCAGGAGCCGCGGGGCCCTCCCCGCGACTCTCAGAGGCCGGCGGCGCACTCTGGGCCGTTGATGCGATTTATCATCGGCCCAGAGGCCGCGAAAGTTGCAGGGCGTTAACGACAACACCCCGAGGTCGATGTATGTGCCAAGTACTGGTGGTTTAAAGACCCCTTGTAACATGCCAACCAACTCAGGCTGAGGACAAATAATACATCTTGAGTGAATCTGTGGCCAAATACAAAAATGAAGTTCGAGTATATGAGTGCCCTTCCTACACAATACAAACCAGGAGGGAGGATTAAGGGCCTGGCTCCACCAGTCACAAAATGCGAAAAATGAGAATGAATCTTCGGCTAGAACATGCAAAGATGCACCACCATATTTTCTGTCTTTGTATATGTGGTGAGTAGTGGAGCGAGGCTAATGCGAAAAATGAGAATGAATCTTCCGCTAGAACAT